CTGGCTACGGGCACTATGAGTTTCTAGTCATGCCATTTAGGTTAACCAATACACCAGTTATTTTTATAGACTTGATGAACAGAGTTTGTAGACAGTTTTTAGATCAGTTCGTCATAGTGTTTATTGATGATATCCTGATTTATTCAAAGAGTAGAGAGGAACATGCTCAGCATCTGACTCAAGTTTTACAGATTCTTAGGAAAAAGAAACTATATGCAAAACTAAGTAAGTGTGAGTTTTGACTTGAGCAGACTACCTTTCTAGGGAACATAATATCAAAAGAGGGAGTGTCAGTGAATCCTGAAAAGACTGAGGCAGTAATGAGTTGGGAGAAAACTTTAGTTAAGGAGGTTCATAACTTTTTGGGGATGACAGGTTATTACCGCAGGTTTGTGGAAGGGTTTTCAAGTCTACTCACCCCTTTGACTCGGTTTACAAAGAAGAACATCAAGTTTGAGTGAAATGATTACTGTGAAAGGAGTTTTACAGAATTTAAAAAAGATTAATTATCGTGCCAGTTTTAGTTCTGCCGAGTGGAATAGGTGGATATACAGTGTATAGTGACGCTTCCTACTTAGGGTTAGACTGTGTTATGATATAGCATGGAAATGTCATAGTCTATGAGCCCAGACAGTTAAAAAATTATGAAAAAAATTACCCCAACTACAACTTGAAACTTGCCGCTATTATCCATGCATTGAAGACCTAGTGTCACTACTTGTATGGAGAGACTTTTGAGATTTATACAGATCATAAGAGATTGAAGCATATATATACCCAGAAGAATCTCAACATGCGTCAGAGACATTGGATAGAACTCTTCAAGGACTACGATTGTAAGATATTGTATCACCCATGTAAAGGCAATGTCGTAGCTAACGCACTCAGTAAGAAAAGTACATGTATGTTGGCTCATATAATGATTTATGAATGCAGGGTAATAAGGGCTACGCAACATATACAACTTCAGGATTTGAAAAGGGCCACATTTTTTGCCAATCTAGTTGTTTAACCCGAACTGATTCAGAAAATAAAGGAAGCCCAATTGGTTGATTCCACTCTACCAGCTTTAAGAAAGATAAAGAAGAGGGCATAAATCCAGAATTCGAATCTCTACTGATAGGTTGCTTAGGTTCCAGAATTCTGACTCGTCGTCGCTGCTAATAGGGCTGTCTCACGTGATCAAATTTTTTCTTTTTATGATTTTACCCCATGTTTTGAA